ATAAAATGATGGGGTTTATATCATATTGCATGAGTTTATCCCTCTACATCATGTCATCTTGCTTAAAGCGTTACTCTGTTCTTTGTGAACTTAATAATCTAGATGCAGGCAGGAGTCGGTCGATGTTTGGAGTAATAGTAGTAGATGCAGGCAGGAGTCGGTCTACTTGTTGCGGACGTGATGCCTATATACATGATCATGCCTGGATAATCTCATAATTATTCGTTTTTCTATCAATTGCTCGACAGTGATTTGTTCACCCACCGTAATACTTATGCTATCTTGAGACAAGCCACTAGTGAAACCTATGGCCCCCGGGTCTATCTCTTATCATATTTGCTTCCAATCTACTTTTATTTGCATCTTTACTTTTTGCATCTATATTATAAAATACCAAAAATATATTTATCTTATCATACTATCTCTATTAGATCTCACTTTCGCAAGTGGCCGTCAAGGGATTGACAACCCCTTTATTGCGTTGGTTGCGAGTTATTTGTTTGTTTGTGTAGGTGCATGGGACTTTTGAGGAGCCTTCTACTGGATTGATACCTTGGTTCTCAAAAACTGAGGGAAATACTTACGCTACTATTGCTGCATCACCCTTTCCTCTTCAAGGAAAACCAACGCAAGCTCAAGACGTAGCACATAACAACATACGTTGTTCCCTTTGTCGTCGGTATGTTACTTGCCCGAGATTCGACCGTCGGTATCTCAATACCTAGTTCAATCTCGTTACCGGCAAGTCTCTTTACTCGTTCTATAATGCATCATTCTGTAACTAACTTATTAGTCACATTGCTTGCAAGGCTTATAGTGATGTGCATTACCGAGAGGGCCCAGAGATACCTCTCCGATAATTGGAGTGACAAATCCTAATCTCGATCTATGCCAACTCAACAAACACCTTCGGAGACACCTGTAGAGCCTCTTTATAATCAGCTAGTTACGTTGTGATGTTTGATAGCACATAAGGTGTTCCTCCGGTATTCGGGAGTTGCATAATCTCATAGTTAGAGGAACATGTATAAGTCATGAAGAAAGCAATAGCAGTAAAACTTAATGATCATAATGCTAAGCTAACGGATGGGTCTTGTCCATCACATCATTCTCCTAATGAAGTGACCCCGTTCATCAAATGACAACACATGTCTATGGTTAGGAAACATAACCATCTTTGATAAACGAGCTAGTCAAGTAGAGGCATATTAAGGACACTTATGTTTTGTCTATGTATTCACACATGTACTAAGTTTCCGGTTAATATAATTCTAGCATGAATAATAAACATTTACCATGAAATAAGGAAATAAATAATAACTTTATTATTGCCACTCGGACATATTTCCTCCAGATCGAACGGCTAGAAGTGTCCAATCGCTGTGGGGAAGTGTAGCTCGCTGCATCTTACTGTTTAGTAATAGGCCTAGGTCAAAGAAAAGTGGATGATTCATCAACCATGGTCCATAGCATGAAGATTCTCAACCAAAGAATATTTTGAAGTGCCACCTTTGAAATCAAGCATGGATAACGCCGTCATTTTTTTGGTTTTCTGAGTAGCCTTTTAAGACCTTGTACAATGCAATACGTTTAGGGGAGGCGCTTTAAGAAATAAATCATTCTTCCTTTACGCATCAGTGCTTATTTGTAGAGAGTCGACGCTTAATCAGGCGCCTCTCCTATAGAAAGAGGCATTGGTGCTTAAAAAAAATCCGTTTTTACGTTTCTAAGAATCACCATAAGCACCTAACATTGTACAAGGCCTAAACGCATCTCTCTTTCTAGCATAACATGTTCAAAAGACGGATCTCAAGCACAATCTCATCAGCAATTTCCACATAAGCCTCGTCCAAATCAAACCACATCTTCTTTGAGCTCGTGTGGCAATCTAATGGTGTGACAACGCACCAGGTTGGTAGATATATGGGCGAACATCTGCACTCAAGATTTATCCTTTTTTGCGAGGGCGAGATTTATCCTTTAACTATACCACATTTGCACATCATGATTCTTGCACCAGGCATTGTGTTGTTTCCCGTTGCAACGCACGAGCCTTTTTCTGGTACCTAATAGTAAAGGGACTATTGCTTATGTCTGTCTGTCATCCCTTTTATAGAAACACCCCTGCATTTTATGTGAATTAACCCACGGTCCAACTTAAGTCACAGCCGAACCCTTTTTTGTGGTGTTCTTAGAAAACCCCCTGACTTTGGAGGTAATTAACCCGCCATTCATATGTAAGTCAAATGAATTGTTTTTTTGTTTTAACAGAAAACCCCCAGATTATTTGGTTAATCAATCCGCAGTCCATCTAAAACAAATGCTTTTCTAAATTATGCATATCTTTTAAACCGTAACTCCGATTTTAACATGTTATATATAAAATATGATTAGAGAAATGTGTAGAATCTGAATATGATATTATTTTGCCTGTAAATATTTTTTAAGTATTATTCTGGATGTAAACTTAATCTATAACATACGGTCTATCATTCTTTCGTACTGGCGGCAATCCCGATTGCAAATAAACAACCACTAAAACCAAATTGAGGTGAAAGAAAATATCGATAACCACACATGCACAATTCTAAAAACCAACATATTTCTCATCTTATTTTCGTAGAGCATGAGAGAGAGAGGAGGGGAGGGAGGGAGGGGGAGGGAGAGAGACGCCTTAGAGTTGACCACATTCAAATGCATTATGGTTGTGTGAGAACAAAGGCCACCGCCGGCGAGAGTAAGGAGGATAAGCAGCAACACAAATGTGATGCCCTGTTAAATTAAAGGACATGGACTTATTGGGGTTTTCAGTCATGACTATTGAGTTAAGAGCGTGTGTTATTTTTTTCCGTTGCAACGCACAGGCTCTTTTGCTAGTGATTGATGATGGGCGAAACGAAAATCAACAAAGCAGCCCAAACCAAACAAGGAATATTATCTCCCTTTATTAGTAGGTATAGATAGTGAATGTTTTGCTAAATCATGATTATTTTTTGAAAATCGTAAGTAATTTTAGTTTTAAGAAAAAATTCAACAATATACATTTAATAAAAAAATGATTTTTCAAAAATTCACAAAGATTTTAGAAATCCTGAACATTTCTAAATTCTTAAACACTTCTTTAACTCATGAACAATTTTATAAATTCGTCAACATGTTTCATCATTTTTAAAATTTATTGTCGATTTTTTTGAGAAATGAACCAATTCGGATAAAAATATATGCCTAGATATAAAAAGCTGTCTGAAATCAGCAAGAATATACCATGAACCCATCATATGCCACACATGCACTTGCATGTACTGTGGGCCAGCCCAGTGCACGTTTTGGGGTCTATTCCATTTGTTTGGTATTTTAACCCCTCCAAATAATTTATTTGGTATTTCAAATAATGTTCACAATTTAAAAAATTTATAAGTTCAAAATTTTATATAAACTCACGAAATCAAAAGATGTGTGAAATTTAGGAATTATATCACAAACTTGAAAATGTGTTCACAAGTTTGCGAAAATAGATTAAAGGGATCATGAATTTTAGAAAATGTTCATAATTTTAAAATATATCCACGGATTGACAAACAGAAAAAAATGGAAAAAAAGAATAGAAAAACAGACGAAAATGAAAGGGCCGAGGAAAAATAAAGAAATGAGGAAAGAGAAGAAAATAAAGTAAAAAACGACAAAAATCACTGGAGAAAACCAAAGGAAAAAAAGGGAAACGGAATAACTTCCCACTTCGGCTGGCTTATGCGGGATGCCGCCCTATGCTATTCGTACCGTTTCACTACGGTAGTGAAGACAGGGAAATTCCAAAATTCTATAAAGTCCAAAATAAAATGCATGTCAAAGTAATTAAAAATACACAAATAAACCGATTAATAGGTACAAATCAACGTGCATCTAACCTGCCAAAATGCCCAAATGTAAATGCTACTAGATGATACCACATGCGTTGTCGCTAGACTCTTGTTAAAACAAATGCATAAATAGGTGCCAACAACAACTAAAACTAATTAAAAAGCAAATGTAAGGAGTGTTCTTCATTTTGAAAACATATACCTTTTTTTTACTAATAACGGAAATAGGTATTCTTGGTTCGTCATGCTATTTTGCAGAAAATCTCTGATGTTTCTGATAATAAACTGGCAGCACAGTTTAAACTAGATTTTTTTTATTTTTTTTGCTTTCGGAGAAACCGTCTGATGTTTCTGGTAATTAACCTATGGGTCAATTTTAAGTTAGATTTTTTTCTTTTGAAGGAAACCCCATGATATTCGGGTTAATCAACCCACGTCACATATCAAATGTGTTTTGAAAATATTCATACCTTTTAAACCCTAACTCCAAATTTAACATGTTATATATGGAATTGGTTAGAAAAATGTGTTGAACCCGAATATGATGTTATTTTATCCGTTAACCATTTAAAAAAATATTATTTAGGATGCAACCTTAATCAATAGCGCATGATCCGTCTTTTTTTAATACCGGTGCCGATGCGAATTAGAAATGAATACCTCAGCAAAATCAAAATTGAAGACGAAAGAAACCATCTACAACCACACATGCACGCCTCGCCAAAACGTCATAGAAAAAAAAACAGATTTCTAGTGTTATGCCGGGAGAGAGACGCCTTAGGATTGGAAACATTTAAATGTGTTGTTTTTGTGAGAGCACTAAGGCCAGCATCCCCAACTTGCATCTCAGTTACTCCCTCCGTCCCATGATATAAGATAGTTTTGCAAGCTGTACAATCTGATAACATCCTCCAACTCATCTTACTTATCGCTGTCAGTACTTGGTAGCAACTAAGCCCAATACTGATAAGAAGATGATTCTCACTACATTATCAGGTCCCCAGCTTACCAAGTGCACCTAGTGCTACGCCAATTAGCTTTTAAAAGATACCAGAACCATTCACCAATTCCAAAATACCGTACTAGAGCTATGCTCTAAAACCCGAGCTATATACACAGACATGTATCTCACTACATTATGCCCTAACCCTCCTTTTGAGCTCGGCAGTAATTAATGGGAAATTCAGAACCAGTAGCGCATAACCATCGGTGAACATGGTCCTTGAAATTTTCCTCTACCACAAAGAAGTCAATGCACTTGTTCTTCAACTCCTGACAGTTGTAGGTTTCAGCCCAACCTAAGGTAGTTGCAACTGTATCTACAGACACTTTCTCCCATAACTTCTGGGCACAAATAACCTTCAGTCGATCCAATGCATACCGATCGGCCGCAGCGAGTAGATCCTGAAACATCTCAGCAGAGGAGTCCTCAAGCCTGTCTTCTCCAGGCCATTCATCCGTGTAAATGAACCGAAGCATAACTTTGAATGTTGCAGGTGTGATCTCGTGCAGCGTGATGCATGGTATTGTAGCCTCAGACATGGAACCGAAGAGCTCTGCTCTAAAGACCGGTGAGCGGGCAGCAAGCACTGCCCGGTGAGCATGGAATGTCTCATCATTGACTATGAATGACACATCTGTCCCGTCATTGTTATCTACTCCCTCCGTTCCTAAATATAAGTCTTTGTAGAGATTTCACTATGAACCATATAGTGATGTATATAGATGCATTTTAGAGTGTAGATTCACTGGTTTTGCTCCGTATGCAGTCTATAGTTAAATCTCTACAAAGACTTATATTTAGGAACGGAGGGAGTAGCAGGCAGCCAAGATGAGTTCCAATGTCCGAAGGTGGCAGGGGAATAGGACTGTCATCGATGACCATGATGGCACATAGAAAGGTGACGTATCCCCCTATTAAGTAATCTTCCTCCAAAATACTTCCCTTGATGAACCGATCCCACCCCCAAGAATCGGCGAGGCCTTTGTCTCCCTTGATCTCAAAGGTTTCACATGTCCTTTGTATGCCTGACATAGATGGTTTGCCGTCCCTACCCAGTATGTCGACCTCCAAGATGGCCCTGACGCATCTGGATTGGCTCAAATGGTCGAGGTAGATAGAAACATACTCGCCCTTGTTGGCCTCTCTCTCCCCCCGTGGGAAGCACTCAATCCTCCAAAGGTGTCCCCCAGCGGAGACGACGTCAGAGTAGACGGACTCGCTGAGAGGAAGCTGCTTGATTTGCTGGTAGTCTACTCTGAACTGGAAGACAGAGGAGCCCACAATGGTGGTCCGCGCCTCCGGCTGCGCGGTCTTAGCCCGCTTGTTCACTGAACAAATTTTAAGCAAACACAAAGACGAATTACCACAAAAAAGGACACAAAAGAAAGTACTGCCACAAAAAATTGATGGTGCAGTCATGCAGAGTACAAGCTAGTGAATCCTTCAGCTCAACAAACTGAAACAAAAGCACAAAAGGGCACTCACTGGCTTGCTAGCAGTAGGAGGTGGCGGCGATGCGATTGGCCTGCTGGTGGTGGCAATCGGTACTCAGGCACCACCGGCCGCTCCTCAGATCTCCCCGCACCCGCACCAGAATCTCCGCCGTACGCCGTATGTCTGTCTCCTCTGCTCTGCTGCTGCTCGGCGTGAAACCCTTGAGGCTTCTTCTTCTTTTCTATTTTTTTTTTTTTGCAATAGAAAAACCCTTGAGGCTTGAGCACAGACAGAACTGTTCTTTGCAGGCTTCCAACAATGGGGTCCCTCCAACACCGCAGGTGATATGGGCCGCAATGTGTCCCTAGCCAAAATGAAATGCATTCTCTCTAAAAAAAAGACAAAATGAAATGCAGGTCAAAGTAGTTTTTCTTTTTAACACAGTAAAATCACAGACTCTCACATACAAGCGCATACAATCACATGCATCAAAGTAGTTGACTGGAATAAATTGACCAATAGATACAACGTGCCAAAATAGTTCCAGATGTGAATATAATACAGAGACCGGGAAACAAAGACGATCAATTCGATTGTGGACAGTTGCAAATTTCGAATTGGGCCATGAATTCGGCTCATTATCATTAATAACACTAAGTTTGTCTTTTTTTATAAAGTTGCAGGTTGATTTTGAATGTAAAACTCACGTTCTATTTATGTAATTCTTATTTTATAGTTTTTTCTCGCAATTTTTTAGGAGTGATTCGAAATGTGCGATGTATCAGGAGTACTTCAGAGGTGGGAGACAAATAGGGGGTGCAATGCCCAGGAGCAGTCCTACCCATAGTAGCCTGGTTCGCGGGTCGAGGGTGCGTCCCGTGACCCGGGGTCGATCGACCCCAATCGAGGGTCGGGAACGACGTGGGGTCGAGGTGGGTCGTTGGGTGGATCGCGACCCCGATCGCTCCATGATACCCCAGTATCGAAGATTGCAAGCTAAGAAGCCAGCCAAGAACATCTATGGGGAATCGGGCGGGATTTCATGGTGATTCGAGGCTTACCTGGCAATTGCGCTCCAAAGTTCTGAACTCCGTCGGACTGCCGATGTCCGCCCTCCGATGATCCGCCACTCGCCTGCCGGTCGTCGAGCTGCTGCGTATGCGCCCTCTCCTGTCCCACCCAGTCCTGCCATTGAAGGATGCACGCCTTGCTTGCCGCTGCCGCTTGAGAATCCGATGCTGACTAGGGAACGAAGACTGCATAAGGAAGAAGGAATGGCTGGATGGGAAAATAGGAGAGTGCTGGACGGCTCGAGGGTTGGAAGTTGGAACTGAATCGGGGACTAGAGCTTTGCTGATGAACTGATGAAGAGAGATTTGGGGACAGTTCTTGCAGAAGGTCCGTATACGTTTCATGTGAAAGAAAATGGTAGATGAAAAAATCACGCCCTAAATGGCTGACTTGCCGCACCATTTTTTCTGACAAGGAGGGAAGGGAAATAAATCATGGCGCAAATCGTAATCTTTTCCGGGGGAATAGCAGGATCTTCCTTTCCCTTCCATGGAAAGATCACCACGACCCGGGTCCATCGACCCGAATTTGTTTGGATCGCGATCCACGTTCCAAATCAACGTCCCGAAGATGTATAGTCCTCGTCGCACCTCGTTCCGGCGGGTTAGCGACCCACGACCCACGACCCCGTTCCTCGACCCACACGACCCGGATTTCTGGCAACTATGGTCCTACCGGGCCGACCCATTGGCAGGAACCGAACCGAATCAAGTAATAATGTAGCATCAGGCCGGCATTGTAGCGGTCTACTGTATCGGATGGTTACTATAGCGTGAGGTTTACTGTAGTTGATGTCAAAAATTTGCGAACTCATTTTGAAAAAAGTGAACATTTCTTGCGATCATGTAGAAAACCTGCAATTTATGTGTAATTATTTTGGTAGAATCTGTGACTTAACCTTCAAATCACCGTTTTGTTTTCTGAAATGTGATCCATGTCAAATATTTTGTTATTGATGATTAGTGTCAGACACTTATATAGGCTAAGAACTTTTCCACTTATACTAAGAGTTGACTAATGAGACTCCACAACACATTTAAACCATGTGGTTGACATATCGGTTAGCTTGCTACATAAATGTTGACACACCCGTCTCCTGTTTTATATTGACATAATGACCAACATGTCTCTCTGGAACATCATCTTTAAAACAATAGTATGTGCAGAGAGATGCCAAGAAATGATTCTTGAAGCGGATCTAGAATTTTGAAACAGGGTGGTGCATCTCAAAAAAATTGTTCTGGCAACGCATATTGCATTGCTACCGTACTTAATTAATTTACCAATTGGCAATAGGACAATGGAAAGATACAATATGGTCTTACAAACATATTAAAATCCTCAATCAAGTATGTATTTTGCATAAAAGAAGACTTCATGCATGTACTTATTAATGGACATGAAAGTACTCCCTCTGTAAAGAAATATAAGAGCGTTTAGAGTAGTGATCTAAACATTCTTATGCTCCCTCCGTTCGGAAATACTTGTCGGAGGAATGGATGTATCTAGATGTATTTTAGTTCTAGATACATTCATTTTTATCCATTGCTCCGACAAGTATTTTGGGACGGAGGGAGTATTTCTTTATGGAGGGAGTATCAATTGTATCATATCATCTTCATTGTCCGTGGCATATTTCCAGAAAAGAGAAGCACTGAGTCTCATCCTCTTCATTCTTCAACAACTCTACACTTTTTTTTTACATTCTATCAATCATAGTTGGACACGACAAATTATCCTCATTTGTTCATGTATGTGGCTGATAGCACTATAAATAACAGACCCTAGATTCCTTTCAAAACAAAGACCCTAGATTCCTAAATCCTAATGAGAACAATCAATCAGACATTGAAATGGGGACGAGGAAAATGGACAAGGTACCTCAAATACGATTGGCTCCCTTTGTGTCGTAGCAGCACACCACCACACCGCCTGCCGCCGGGCAGGACCAGTGCTGCTGCCGAGTGAGCAGGGAGCGAGGAGCGGACGGCTAGGCACTGTGATTGCGGCGGCCGAGTGGGACGGGCCTTGGGCAGCTCCTGGACTCCTGGGGTCCGGCGACGGCGATTCGCCGGCGAGTAAGCGGCGAGTCCGCGAACAGTGCGGCGCAGAGGGGAAAGACTGGGACGAGACGCAGTGCGGCTGCGGGGTTTTTTTTTAGAAGTTTTTTTTTTTGAGACAAGCGGACTAGCAGGCCGAGTTTTAGAAGTGCGGCTGCGCGTTCTATAGTTGAGACGAGCGGCCTAGCAGGCCGAGTTTGTTCGGCCTGTTTTTTATTTTTCTTCTCCAGCCCATCACCAAATCTCCTATGTTATACAAGCCGACCAAAAATCCCAGGGTGGGCCGGGCCCATCCTATCCTCCCTGTAGCTCCGCCCGCTACTAATATTCTGACACTTCCTCAAAAAAATATACTAATATTCCGACACTTTCTAAAAAAATAATATTCTGACACATTATTTCCTAATAATGGAAAATTGGAAATCCTACATTAGTGAAAGATTCGTCTACTGATAAATTTTCTTAATGCCTCTGCCTTGGTCTGTCAAACAGGAAGTTAGATCATTATCTTGAAGGATCAAGGGTTATTGCCCATCCAAGAAAATGTAATCCCACATACTTGCATCATGGAAGTTGCTTCCTATTTTCCTCTATGTGTTTGGGATAATTGAAATATGTGTTATCCCATTGTTTTTTTCCAGGGATGTTATCTCATTGTTTATCCTGCACAAAATTGCATCTTCCCTTTAGTTAGTGAAGGACGGAATCCATTCTATGGAAACCCATAGGATATTATATGGTGTGATGAGCATTTGTTTGTTAGGCAAAATGTTTGATGATATTATCATGTAGTCATACATTTCATCTTTTGTAAGGATGAGAATGAGCTTGATATCTTACAATTGTCAGGTTCTTTATTTGGTACTCATTTTACACAATAAATGTATCTCAATCGAACAAAATACACACATTTAAAATACTCCATGTTCCTATATATGTCTCAATGAATTGGTCATGACACTTGAATGTCATGT